CCCAGAGTGCGTTCTCTGCTGTCGCCCCCAAACTCTGGAACGACCTGCCGGATGAGATCCGTCAGTTGACATCATTAGACAGCTTTAAAAAAGCTGTCAAGACGGATCTCTTCCGGCAGGCCTTTCCAGATTAACCATCCCGGCCCAGGCTCCCTGATCCCCTCATTCCTCCCGTGGCCCCATCTTTAGTGATGGTTGAGGATCTCCAGAGGGACACCAGGGTTTTTGGTTTGTTTTAATTATGGTTTTATTTTATTTTTTTATTTTTTTGTTTAATACTTTCTTAAGGGGGGGAGGGATTATAATGTTTAAATGTTATATTTTACTCTTGTTATATTTTACTGTTGTCAACCGCCCAGATTGGTTCGCCACAGGGCGGTATACAAATAAATATTATTATTATTATTATTATTTGCTTATTAGCTGTAATACAAATAATTCAGGGCAGTGGTTCCCAAGCTTTTCTATGCCCCACATCTATAGAAAATGTTTGATTAATGTTCACACCCCTTATGAAAGTGATACCACATTTAAAGATGAAGAAGTCTAACTTCTAGTTTTGAACTACAAATTGAACCACATACTGCAGGTGAACAAACTGAACTTTTAAAAATAAACTTATAACTCAGTGCATAAAATGCAAACTTAAATTGAGCAATTAGATTCTAATTAATTGAGAAAAAATTGAGTGGTAACTCATGACTTGTCACTCAAGGCAACTCTTTCTTGCAGCCTCTGAAATTCCATCTCTTATCCCCTGGGGTGTAGGCACCCCAGGTTGGGAACCCCTGATTTAGAATTACAAAATATAATAATGCTTCATTCTGTGTGAGAGAGTCTACAGGACTTCTTCATCCAACTTAACCTCTCTCTATATGTCTCTCTTCAATTGTCATTGCTCTTCCAAATTCCTTGGCTATTTCCCATTTATTGACAGCAGCACTAGTCAAAGAAGGTGTACTACCTGAAGCAAGCAATAAGCTGGTGTTCTCTCCTCCATTACAGACAAACCCTTAAATGAAAAGCCAGTTGAATTATGCTCCAGTAATAATGCTCATAGCATCAGCCTCCAACCCTAAGGACAACAGGATGGAGTGCAGAACCAGATGAGCAGCTTCAGGAAGAACAGTCAGGGATGGGGAATCTACTTCCCTGTATAATGGCAAAGTAAGCCATGACCAGAAATGCCATTGTATGATGCTTATTAAGCTGATGTGGAGATACACATAGAGTTGGTTTGCTTGACAATGTTATGAAGGAATAAATATAAGGTAAACGTGTACAAATTGGACCTCCTCAGATGTTATTGGACTACAGCTCCTAGCATTCCTCACAAGAGCTCCCAGTATTCCTCACAACTGGCTATGCTGACCAGGGTCAATGGGTGTTGAAATTCACCAATATTTGGAGGGCCACATAGAAGGAACCCAAGTTAGCTTGTGTCATTTATAATCAGTACTGACAATTTGTCACAGAAACAACTAAGAGAAGGAAAGTATGTAGTATCACACTGAACAAAACTGTGTAAAATGGGGAAAATACTCGGGTTGTTAACCTTATGTGTTGATAGCAACAATATAATATGGTTAAATGTTGCATTTGTTATCACATTGCCAAATATACCTGGCTTTAAAGCAGAGAAGAGGCCTTTCAGGTGTTATCAATTGCAACTCCTATAATGTTTCAGCATTATCTGGGTTTATGGTATAGCAAGAAAAAAGTAACAATTAAGAGTTTCCTCGGAATACATTCACAGGCTTCAGAAGACATGTATCCTGCTTTCAGAGAAAACAGTCTTAGCTCCATTTCAGAAGTGTTTTGCTTCTACATCTTTATTATATTGTGAATATCTTATTGCCCTTGCCTTCAAATACAACATTATGGTTTGGCTTTCTTTACTGAATATAAAGAAATACTACATCTTCTAGGTGTGTTGATCTTATCTAGCTTTACATGTTTGCCCTACTTTTGTGTTATTTTTCTTATAACAGAAGTAAGTCACCAGCATTATTAGTATTAAAGAAAAATAAAAGACACAATGACAAGTTTCAGTCCCTTAAACGAGAAGGCAGAAGTTCCATGGGGTACAAGCATCCTGAAACAGTTCCTACCTAAGAGAGAGCTTCTTTGCTTGACATAGCTTTTGGTCATGATATCTTTCCTCATTTCAGATATTTCAGTTGCACATTCTTAGAACAGGCATCACCACATATGAATGAATAGAAGTAAAACACAAGTTCAGCCAACAAATGTTATGTGACACATTTAGATAATGTCTGGAGTTGACTCAGTGATGCCTGGATCCAAGTCAGTGAAGCAATGACTCTGTTCTGGTTATTTGGACCTTCCCAAGTCTAAATTTTAAATGTGCCATCCAAGTGCAGAACCTGTTTGGAGGATAAAGCTTGGAGTCTTTGATAGCTTCATTCAAATTTAGACCAAATCCTACAATGGATTTACCACCCCACTGACACAGAAGCCACCAGCTGTCACTAGAACTGACCGCTTCCGACCATGACAGGAAGAACAGGAAATGTTAAGGTCCACTCTGGCTATTTGTCTTTTGGTTTAGAAAAATACTTTGCACCTGCAAAATATATTGGATATTTCAAATCCTTCATGCAGTTTTCAATTTTTAATTTTAAAAATATTGGAAATATTCTCTTCAGTGAGCATGGCTGACACCAACAGCATCTCTGGGCTGGCTAAAAAGAACTGAAGAAACAGCACATTAACAGGTTTATGACTGTCTCACCAGAGAGTTAATATAAAGCCAAATGAGAGCTTTCTTGTTAAAGGTTATTGATTCTGCCTTCTCAAATGTTACTTCTATTCTTACTGCATATCTCTTACCAGTTTTATTCATTACAATATGCATTGTAGATTTTGCACTTTCTTTGAAATAGATTTTTTTGTGTTTAATCCACACATCTTATATATATATATTTACTTTCAAATTAATAAAGGAGTGGCTTAAGTCCCCTTTTTTATATGCAGTCCCAAGCACCTCATCTGTGGTTTTATGATGTTTGTGAGCTCTAGAGATACTAAAGCTAATTTGATCTTTGTTATACTCCTGGATAATCTGTTCTGTGGCTTTGTGAATTGGTAACATACAGTGTTCAGTGGTGGGTGGTGGTTCCCCTAAGTGAAACATGTTGTTTAAGTTTCTTGCTGTTGTTAAAGCTCATGATCAGTTATCCTGCTCATTCAGCTGTGCTATTTCAGTCCCTGTCCATCATGTGTCCTTATTTGCTATCTCTTGTTTCTTAGATGTAATAGGACAGAATTTTATACAGTTTGACCACTTTTTTCACAACACAGTCATAAGCATGTTTACTAGCAAGGAAGTTTCACTGTGTCGAATGGACTTACTCCCTAGTTGTGATCTTAATTTTTTAGGATCACAACTGACATATAAGTAACATAATAGCTGGCTTCATACTGTGTAATATTTTAGTCATTGTTTGCTAATACTAACATATCACATCATTAGCTCCTTAGAGTATATCTATTCTACATCATTATAGCAATAGCAAACGCAATAGAAAGTACATTTCTATACCACTTATCAGTGAACCAGCACTTCCTAAGTAGTTTACAATGTGTAAGGCATTGCCCCCAACAAGCTGGGTACTCATTTTACCGACTTATGAAAGGATGGAAGGCTAAGTGGATCTTGGAGCCCTGCCTGGGATCAAACCACAACCTTGTGGCTGCAATACTGGCATTTAACCACTTCACCACCAGAGCTCCAGTTATTATACCACTTGATACCACTTTAGCTGTCATAGATCCATCCAACATAAACTTGGGAGTTGTAGTTTGGTGTTTAATGTTCTGACCCAATCACTAGAGTTTCACCAAACTATAGACTCCATGGCACTGTAGGGCAGATCCATATCAATCTTCCATAGTGTAGGTATCCTATGGTTGTGTAGAGATGCTACACTACATACCAGTTGATTAGGAACAAGAGTGGGAGAGTACTTTTACACTTACATCCATTGTAACATTGGCCAACATGGAAGCAGAATGATCGATTAAGTACCTCTTTGACATGATCCAGCAAAACTCTTCCTATGTTCCTGTTTTGCTTATTCCAAATGGGGTGGGACATATTTTACATGAATATATTGTTATATCATTGAGCATGATTTCATATGTATGAATGCCTTCCTCATGTGGGTGTGGATACTGCCTCAGGAAATGGTAAAACCTTCTAATTGAATATTCATAAGCTTTTTTTCCAGTGTTGTATTTATTTTTATTTATTTCAATGGTACTTTTCTCCCAATGTGGGACACAAAGCTAAAACAAGATCAGCTAACAACCTGACAATAAATATTGAAAATATCTTCATTAAAAAAATCTTCATATTGAAACCATCAAGAATATGACATCAAAAATAGAACTCAAATGCCCCATAAAAATGCTCTTTGCAAGCAGTTGCTCATTAAAAGCCTGTTTGAACAAACAGGTCTTCACCTGTTGGTGTAAGAGAGCAAAGAGGGGCCCATCTATCCTCACCAAACAGGCTTCTGGTGCTGGACGGGCTACCTGAAGTATACTTTCAATGCATACTGTGCTATATGTTCTGCTGAAAAGAACCAAACTTACATGAAGGAGAAGGATGTGACAAAAGGAAGGCCTAGGCAGTAGCAGAGGGTGATTTCCAGTCCTGGTGTTAAGAGCAAAGTGCTTAGTTGCCAATCCTGATAGGTTAAGGGCTGGGCAGGGAAAGGTGATGAAGTCTGACAGCAATCTAACTTCCATGGCTCCATCCTACAGAATCCCAGGCTTTGTAGTTTTGTGAGACATCAGCAATCTGGCAGAATGTTGTGTGCCTTCAAGTTGTTTCCAACTTTTGGTGATCCTAAGGTGATCCTATCATGTTTTTTTTTTTTTTTGCCAGAATTTATTCAGAGTGGGGTTTACCATTGCCATCCTCTGATGCTGAAGAGAGAGTGACTTGCCCAAGGTCACCCAGTGGGTTTCCATGGCTGAGCTGGGATTCAACCCATGGTCTCCAGAGTCATAGTCCAATGTTCAAACCACTACACTCCCCTGGCAAAACTACAAATCCCAGGATCCCATAGGATGAAGCTACAGCACTTAAAGTGGAATCAACCTGTATTATTTCTACAGTGTAGGTGGATCCAGAGTCATAAACATGTTTCTTTCCATGTTTCCTGTCAATCTTTATAAAGGGGTGCTTATTTTGCAAGTACCCCAATCAAATGTTCATAACAACTGTAGGCTGCAGCGTTAAACATGGTGAACCATGACTCAGACAACAAATCAAACTTCACAATGCTCTTCTGAACCCTGACCATAATCCCACATTTTATAAACTTGAATGAAATTGCTTCCAGCATCAATTATGGATAGGGAATAGAGGAAAGGGAAGCCACATTGTGACAAACACAGCAATTAAGTTTACAAAGAATGTCATTCAGCTGTCTTTAAGAATTAAAGAAATAAATCATAACCTCTAATATTTTTGCTTTATAATATTCTTGCTTTATAATATTTTGCTTGGGGTTAAAATGTACTTCTCAGAACAGCTGACAGGCTCTATATTTGAAGTGGCACATTTTCAGATACAGAAGGCTAAACTGAGATTGTACACAATGCTGACACACACTTACATTTGCATCTGTGCATACAAATCTACTGTCTGCATATGAAATCACTCCACATGTACATTTTTAAAGGAAGAGATTGGCCTCCAGGTCAAGTATATAAAGCTTTCTTTCCCTTGTAATTAGCACTGTTATTCAGATATGTCATTGCCATTGTAAATAAATATTTTCAGGCTAATAGGTTGTTCAACAGTCTTAACTTTAAAAATAAGTTATGTGACATTGCAATTGGACTCTATAAAAGGAAAGTATTGTGAATGAGAGGTCATGAAAATATTCTCTGTTAATACATTATCAGAAAAGTAAACTTTGCTTGGAATGTGAAAGGTGCAAATCCTGTGTATACTTACTTGACAGGAAGCCCCTCTAAATTCTAAACAGCACACTCACATAAGACTGTTCTGTTTGTATGTTCAAGACCAAATTAAATTAATTTCCAAGCTTTCATGCAAAAACTAGGATTTGTTTTTGTTTTTGTTTTTTAAAAAAGCCTCTGCAGGAGGTAAGCCAGTGATCACTCAGGGATCTCTACAAGCAACATAAGAGGTAAGAACTCATAGTAGCTCATGTTCACAACAGCTATATCACATTTATCTTGGATTAACTCAGACATTATGATCTTTAACACTGAGATGGAAAAATCTCAGATTATTGAATGAACCAATCTGAGCCTTGGAAAAGTGATTCTCCCCACCACTGCCAGACCTATGTTAGGGGTAGTCCAACTGTTAGGTAAAATGAGTTATCCACATAAAGCTGCAGAAGCCAGGAATGGAGGCACAGTGCTGCAGTACCAATAGGCAGAGTTGTAAGGTGCTGGGGGCCAGATGCACACTTTCTAAACTAACATGGTGATCCAGGACAGTGAAGAATGGTGTCATTTCACCAGTGTGGCAGTAAAGTTCACTTGTTGCTCTGGTCAAGGTCAGAATACAGGGAAATATTTGGTCAAGGTGGCCAAATGCCTTGGGCTCACACTGCCTTTCTCTTTTTTTCTTTCCTGTCAAGTGATAATGGAAGGACTGGGGAAAACATGAGAAGTGATAGATTGGCCCTTCCATCCCTCCTTCTTCATTGTCCTAGAACACCAGAACAATAAATAACTGTTAATGTTTAAAAGGGTTAAGAACACTTTAAAGTTCATCAGAACTAGTACAAGACATTTTATTGTCTGTCATGAACAACAAGATGGTGTCCTTTCCCATTCCATGTACAAAACCTGATTGGATGGGCAGTTGAAACCTCCTTCAGTGCTGGACATGGAAAGCTTGAGGGGTATAGAACAGGCTGTGTGGCATGCACTTATCTCCTTCAACAACCTCTTGCCAACTCCCAGAACCTGATGACTGAGGAGACTTACTCACTTTGCCCTGGGGTAAGGGCAGCTGTGCCATTCGTGGCAAGTTATAAGTTTTCCCCCACTATTACCTCTCCTTTCCTATTTTGCAAATATGCAGCTTGAACATTAAAAGCAAGAGTTGGGGAAAGTTATTTTTTATGGAAAGTGGTTAGGTGAGCTAATAACTTATGCAAACTTGGATAAAGGTACTACATAAATTTATTTTAGGAAAGCCATCCACTATAGGTAAGTCATTGATTGCACGGATGTGAGATTTGTTCAGGCAAAACAGAGCAGAATGTGGCCCATGATCAAAATTGTTTCTTTTGTTGTTATCCTCCCAAATGCCTGGGAACTGTTCTGCAGTGTCTCCCCTTATGCTACAAAACCTTGTTTACTTTCAATAAGTGTTTGAGAAACTGAACCGAGAGTCATACTTGCTGTTATGTGCTATTGAAAGTCTTTCTTCAAGCATGCTAAATGTTTTTCTATACCAGTAGACTGTTTTTTTAAATTGTTTATCCTTGAAAGTATTGATCCAATTTTATACCCATAGCAGCAATTGTTGCTTTAGTCTCAACTCAACACATAAAGTCTTCCCCCCATGTTACAAAGTGCTTGCTGAGGCATGTTTAAAATATCAGCATTGTTATCTTCCATGACCAATCCTGTCAGTTTTCCCAAATATCAAGTGTTCAAATAGATAAATTAGCATTTAAAAAAAAGAAAAAGAAAATCATCCTTACATTATGATTTTACATTCCAGCATTTGGACCAAAATTGTACCAGAAGAGTCAGAGTTTAAAATATATAGATGGAAAAAAGTGCAGGATTTAGTCAAAACATGACCTGTGCATGTTTTGCCAGGCTGACTTTTTTTGATACTAATTGTTCAGGACTAACTTCATTATCTGACACTGGACACAAAAGGAACAATCATTCTAGTCCACATCAATGGACTAGATTCCATTGACGTGATTCTAGTCCACATCAATGGACTAAATTGAGGGAAGTAATATTGCCACTCTATTTTGCTTTGGTCAGGCCTCACCTGGAATACTGTGTCCAGTTCTGGGCATCACAATTCAAGAAGTATATTGACAAGCTGAAATGTGTCCAGAGGAGAGCCACCAAAATGGTAAAAGATCTGGAGGCCATGCCCTATGAGGAGTGATTTAGGGACCTTGGCATGCTGAGCCTTGAGAAAAGAAGGTTAAGAAGTGACATGATCACCTTTTTTAAATATTTGAAAGTATGTCATATTGAAGAAGGACAAACTTGTTTTCTGATGCTCCAGAAACTATGACATAGAGCAATGCATTCAAACTAAAAGAAAAAGAAGCCCATCTAAACATTAGGAAGAACTTCCTGTCAGTAAGAGCTGTTCAACAGTGCAGCACATTCTCTCAGAGTGTGGTGGTGTCTCCTTCTTTCAAAAGTTTTGAACAGAGGCTGGGTGGCCATCTGTTGAGCATTCTTTGATTTTATTTTCCTGCAGGGCAGGGGGTTGGATTAAATGGTCTTTATAGTCTCTTTCAATTCTATGATTCTAGACATCACCATCAATGTCACTACTGTCACTACCACCATATTTTTCGATGACTTTTTTCTAAAAATAATAATAATCTAGATCTTTCACAATGAAAGATATGTGCTCTCTTTATGTGTCTTCAAGTTGACTCTGCCTTAGATTTGCCATTGCCCTCCTGTAAGGCTGAGAAAATTTGATTTGCCCAAGGTCACCCAGTCAATTTCCATAGCTCAACAGGGATTTAAACCGTGGTCTCCCCAAATCCTAGTCCAACATTCAAAATTCTGTACCACACTAGTTCTCTGATTAAATATGTAAAAGTTAAAAACAACAAATTATAGGAGCCACACATTGGCCTAAGGTTGATACAACTGGTTTGTTAGTGTGGGTAGAAACACACACACACACACACACTGGTACACATATACGTAACCTTCTCGTGGCAGGATTTCCTCTCTCTCACCTCCACCCATTGATTTCTGTTCAGCACTCAGCTGCCCGTATTATCTTATTTGCTCACCGATATGACCATATCTCCCCCCATCGTCATCCCTTCACTGGTTTCCCTTTCCCGCCTGCATTTGGTATAAGCTTCTCTTGCTCACTTTCAAAGCCCTGCATGGGCTCTCCCCTCCCTATCTCTCTGAACTTCTTTCTCCCTACACCCCCTCTCATTCCCTCCATTCTGGTAGCCAAGATCTCCTGTCCCAGCCCTGGATTTCCACTGCTCCATCCTGGATTCGTCCCTTCTCGCTTGCTGCCCCTCACTCCTGGAACCTTCTTCCCTTACAAGTACAACTCAACACATCCCTAACCAGCTTCAAAGCCGAGTTAAAGACCACACTGTTTAGGGAAGCGTTCCCAGGGAGTCTGTGATCGTGACCTGGTTGCTCCTGATCCGTGACTTAATATTAGATATTTGATTTTTGAACTTGTTTTCTATGATGTTTTAATTTGTTGCTTTAACTTTTAGATTGTACGCCACAGGCAGGCTTTTTATATATTTTGGATTTTATTTGGTTTTGTACAGCGCCGTGTACATCTACGGCGCTTAATAAATAAAGCTAATAATAATAATAATAATAATAATAATAATAATACATTGGTCCCTTGGTATCCTCTGGTGTTTGGAACTAGGAGCCCCCATGGATACCAAAATCTGTAGATGCTCCAGTCCCATTAAATACAACGACATAGTAAAATGGTGTCTCTTATATATAATGGCAAAATCAAGGTTTGCTTTTAGAATTTGTATTATTTTTGAGTATTTCAAAGCTGTGGATGGTTGAATCCGTGGATAAAAAAAAATAATCTGTGAATACAGGGAGCTTACTGTATATGCAGGAACTTAAATGTCATGAGATGTATTACACACAGGGGTATCCATCTTTTCCATTAACCTGCCCCATCTGCAAAGATTTCATCAGTGATTCACATTCAGGATTACTAAGATAGTGTTTCCTTATTTGAAAATGCAGTAATAATATTAGTCAGTCCAATCTTATACAATCCTTGGAAGTAAGCCCCATGATGTTTAGTGGCACTAAATAAATGTGGACAGAACTGTAGTTATAATCTTTTTAATACTGTTTCTTCTTCCACAACAAGGAAACAAAATCTACAACCAACTTCATCTGGAAGCACCAGAATTAAAAGTCCAATTAATGCATATTTCCAGATGCCATTCACTCCCAGGTTGGGAAGGAAGTAGGATAAACACTGTATTTGAAGATAATTTTGTTGTAGACACAAAATTCATCCTCCAGCTTTCACGCTGGTAATTAAACAATGCTTGGCAAAAAATATATATAAGGGAATGCCATGTGTCTCTGCTTAAAGAGCATATAGACATAAGGTGCAGGTTTTTTAATGTCTGGAAATCAAAGGAATATTAAACCTATCACTGCCCTAGAGGGACTAAATATTTCCAGGGATTATTTACTGAAGTCCTACCACAGACTGCTGCATCCCTTTTCAACTTTCATCTTGGGAACAGACAAGTCAGGATGAACAAACAGGAGAAATTGAAGTGTACTTGGAAGGCCACAAAAGCTGATGTGCTGTGGCTGGCTAGGCAAGTTCACAAGTCTTTCAGAATCAAATGGAAACACTTTAGGACAGGGGCAGGCAACCTTTCCCCTTTAAGGGCTGAGGGACTTCAGCTCCCAGAAGCCTCAGCCATGTTGGCCAATAGTCCCATGTTGGCCAATAGCTCCTGGGATTCTGGGAGCTGAAGTCCCTCAGCCCTTAAAGGGGTAAGGTTGCCTACCCCTGCTTTAGGATGTTCCAGAACATGAAGGCCAAAATGCAATTTCACTAATGTTCAGTTAGGTAGATAATATTTCTATTTGTAATGTTGTTTTTGTGTGCCTTCAAGCATTTCTGGCTTCATAGAATGATAGAATGATAGAGTTGGAAGGCAAACGTAGCATAGGGCAACATTTGTTCAGGGCAGATGACTTGCCCAAGGTCACCCAGTGGATTTCCATGGTTGAGCAGGGATTTGAACCCTGCTCTCAGGAGTCCTAGTCCAATGCTCAGACACTACACCACACTTACTGCCACTTGTAACATGCAGTCACTAAACTCTGCCCCTTATTCTATGGGATAATCCATTTGTTTTAGTAACAATGAACTTTTTAGTGAATCGGAATTTATGGCTGCTCTAGAACGTGCAGAAGAACTAGAACTGTTGAGAAAATCTTTGGAGACAAGATGACAAAAGGACATCTATAGGCCTTTACAGACTGCCAGAAATAGTGCAAATTGAGGCCACTTTAACTGTCCTGGCTCAGTGCTAAGGAATCATGGGAACTGTAGTTTATTGTGGCACCAGAGCTCTCTGGCAAAGAAGGCTCAATGTCCCAGAAAAAAAATACAATTCCCATGATTCCCTAGCACTGAGCCAGGACAGTTAGAGTGGCCTCAATTTGCACTATGTCTGGCAGTCTGTAAAGGCAATATACCTCTACTTATCTCCATTTTCCCATACTGAATTCTCCACAGTGAGGACTGGGGCTGGTTATAGGAAAAAAAGTTGCAAAAGTTTTATTGGCTACCACTTTGTATTGGACACAATTCAAAGTAATGGATGTGACCTATAAGTTCCTATCTGACAGACTGTATCTCAGTATATGAATGTCCCTGCCTGAGTTTTAAGATACTGGGGAGAAGACTTTCTCTTAGACCCACCACTGTCATAATCATGGCTGGTGAGAAGACATGATAGGGGTTCCTTGGTGTCTGCTCAGAGAAATCTGGCACTTGGATTGCTCCCTCTCTGCTCACCTTTTGTCAGCAGGCAAAGACCTTTTCATTTAGGTTGGCTTTTGGCAATTAATTGTTTGTTGCAAAAAGATCTTTTAATGGGATGTACATGCTGTACTTTATTCTCATGGTGTTCAAACTATTTCAATTATATTCATGGTTTTACAACTATTTGAATTTAGTGTGAGTTTTAATGCTTTCATTTATTTAATAAAAACATTCATTTTTAATTTAATTTAGGCTGTACTTCATTTTAACCAGAGCTGTGAGCCACCTTGGGGCCATGCTGATAGAAAGGCAGAATATAAATGAAATAAAATAACCTAAAACAATAGGTTAAAAAGACTGAGGTGGAGTTCAGCAATGCCATCAGAGAGGCACAAACAGATGAGAGTGCAACTGACCAGAAAGAGGCAAAACTAAGGAAAACTGAAGCCCTGTAGTGACGATGGCATTTATATTATTACAAGGTGTTCTAACCTTTGCTATAAATAAAACATTAAAGCTAAGTAATCTCTATTATAGACATTAAATTGACTGATGCTGTGTGTCTTTTGTCATTTTACTTTCTCTGTTCTTCAGTTCTAGTTTTATTCTTCCATTCTTATAATCTTTAATATTGTTATGATACTCATGATATTCTCTCTCCTTGTTGCTAAATGTTTAATGAATCTCTTTAAGAATAAATATGTTAGAGCTTCAGAATGTGGAAGCTGTGCTAAGTGGCTCACCACCCAGGCACCTGGCTCAGCAAGAAATCAACCACCCATGGATGCCTTTTCATTTGTTTATCGTCTTTCACAGTTCCAGTCCATTCGGAAGTATAGAACAACATGGGATTTTAAAAGCTCATTACATGATTTCTTTGCAACAGGCTGCTTAGGAACACTGATGAATTTGAATATTTAAGTTTGCCACTGTGAGTATGCCACAATTGTTTTAACCTGGAAACACAACATACTTTTTCAAACTTCCTTTGAATGTAGTGTGTACTCTGGACTAGACATGACTCACTGGCTGACTACAAGCAAACACCATACTCACACTCTAGAAGAGATCAGGGCTTTAAATGTTTTGCATTGAAACCTAACAGAGTTGATGGTCCCTAGTGGTTATGGAGTGATAGCATGTAGTACATCACAGACATTGCTGGAGGGGGGGAAAGGTCAGAATTTTTTTGGTTACAGCAACAAAGTATTTATGTTACAAAGGGAATGGAAGACGAGGTGCCAGAGCATGCGATTCATGTGAGTGCAAATCGCTACATGGTAGCTTGCCATTTGGGAGTAAAGGAAATTCAACAGCCCCTGAGTTGGACATGTTTCTGAAAGTCTTACCTCCATGATCACTTAATAGGTTGCCCTCATCTGGGGAAGACGGCTCCATTTCCCCTCAAAATGGATCTAGGCCACCAGCAGGTATAATTTATGACAGGTATAAAATGGAAACATAGCAAAAATTCATAATCTGAGAACAAAAAACACAATAGCCCATATCTCAGCCTGGACATGGATTTCTATAAAAGGTTTTTGTTTTGTTTTTAAATGTCAACTGGGAGAACTAATGATGAAGATCAGGATGATCTAGCATCTTAGATGCAGTTCATAGTCAAGAAGATTGCTTTGGCTTCCTTGTGCTGTCTAGCAAGAACCTGATACAGGCCTTGTTATTCTCATTAAAATTGGACTTAAAATAACTAAAGGAAGAGTGAGAGAAGACATACGTAAACAGAACAAATGATGTATAAGATATGTCCATCGAACTGATGTTTCTGAACTCTGTTAAAAAATATAATATTTGGATAAAGCTGGAGGCTTGTATTTCTAATGGAAAAGCTCCCCTGCCTCAATATTCTCTACCTTCAATGAAATTTTCAAGAATTTCCGTTTACTTTCAAAGAGCCTTTGTTTAACTCTCAATGGCTTCAACCATGTTTGACCTGGTACTGTAAAATGGAAAGAAACTTTTCCCACACTGTATGTAGAAATGAAAGCTGTACATTTGACTGAATCTTGAACCAAATAGGGCTTATTACTACAGGTCTGATTGGCCTAATTTTGTTCTCTACTGGAACAACACAGTCCAAAGTGAAAGCAGAATGCAGGAGCAAACAAGAAAAAGCCTGATTATATATCCAACACAACCAGATAAGGAAAGCACAAAGATGTGAAGTAAAGGGGGCAGAAGAGTTTGTTCACAGAGGAGGGCACTGAATTACCTGGCAGCAGTTCTTAGTCCCCCATACCCACAAGAAACTTAGGTGGAAAACTGTGGATGACATGGAGTGGGGGGAAATATGACCAAAAAATGTATATTTCCAATGCCAGCCCAGACCTAGTGATAACACTAGGTGACATTTCAGCACAGTGCTTTAACTCTGAATCTTGGGAGTGCTATTAGGAGATCTACAATGATCCCTCAAAAATAAAGCAGGTTGTGACTATCTAGAGAAGGGTGCCTTGGTTAGATGTAGCTGTATAGTTCTTTGCTCTGCTTCATCTCTTAATTAGAGTGCCTTCTACTTCCAGTCACTGCTGCCTATCCACTGTGCAGTTTTTCAGTGTTTCCATTTTCAGAACTTTGACCCACTAACACTTGTTTTTTAACTGGCTCTTTTTTAGAAACATATATTCAGGAGTAGCCATATTAACCATATAGCAAAGTACAGTAACATCCAAAATCCACAAAACAGTGATAACTTTATTGGACCAAACAAAATACATAATATACATGTTGCAAGCTTTTGAAGCTCCACTTTTTAGATCTAGTTTGTCTCCATCCTTTGTGAGGCTACAAAGGCAGAGAACATAGAATTTGTTAGGCAAATAACACAGAATTTCTCAAAGGAAGTATTTTTTGTATTGCCAGAAAGAAGGCTATACACATGGACATCACCAGATGATCAACACAGAAATCAAAAAGATTATATAATTGGAAGCAAAAGATGGTGAAATTCCATATTGGTGGCCAAGACTAGAACAGATGCCAAATGTGGCACAGATCATGAACTACTCATATCAAAAATAAGAGTAAGACTCAAAAAGAAAACAAAACCAGTGAGTATATCAAAATATGATCTAAATATTTCAACAGAATTTACTGACAATGTAAGAAATAGATTTAAATTACTAAGCATAATAGACCGAGAATCAGAGGAACTATGGTCTGAAGGTAGGGATATAATGAAAGAAGAATGAGACAGACACTTTCAAAAAACAAAAAGAAAGAGGAAAAAATATAGATGACAGAAAAAACACTTCAAGCAATAAAGAAGAGAAGAGAAGAAAAACAAAAGGGAGATAGGAACAAACTAAGAATTATGAATGCAAGAGTATAATGGTTTGTGCTGGAAGATATAGAAAATTACATAAATGACCATTTGGATGGCCATATGTCGGGAATGCTTTGATATTGAGTTCCTGCATGTCAGGGGTTGGACTGGATGACCCTTGTGATCCCTTCCAACTCTATGATTCTATGATTCTATGACCAATGAAGAGCAATAGCATAAAACAACAAAAAGAGAAGAACAAGAGATCTATTTCACAAGATCTGAGAAATCAAAGGAAAATTCAAACCAAGGACTGGAACAATCTATGACAATAAAAATAATATAGCTTGAGACCAGGAAGGAATAAAAAAAATTTGGATGCAATACACAGAAGAATTATACAAAAGAGATGACAAAATGAAAGACACATGGAATGAAGAGCCATATGAAGATGAACCTCTAATTCTAAAAACTGAGGGGGAAAATGCAATAAGAGAAATAGCGAAAAACAAATCACCAGGAACAGATGATATTCCAATTGAGCTGCTGCAATCCACACTGAGAGAGTCAACTCTAGTGCTAACCTACATATGGAACAGATATGGAAAACAAAATGATGGCCAACAGATTCAAAATGATCAATATACATCCCCATCAACAAAAAGGGAGACACAAGAGACTGCAGCAACTATAGGACCATAGCACTGATCTCCCATGGAAGCAAAATCATGCTCAAAATTCTGAAACATAGACTCCAACCATATATGGAGAGAGAAATTATAGAGGTCCAAGCAGGGTTCAGCAAAGAAAGAGGCACAAGGGAATTCATTGTAAACATACAATAGCTAATGGAGTTCACCAGGGAATTCCAAAAGAAAATCAGCATGTGCTTTATAGATATAGCAAAGTCTTTGACTGCATAGATCAGGGGTAGGCAACCTAAGGCCCAGGGGCCGGAGGCAGCCCCTGAGGCCTTTGGACTGGCCCCAGGCCAGTCCTGCCGCCGCCGCCACTGCTGCCG